AAGACAAAAAGCGATGTGTCCCGAAAGATATTATGCTTTTGGCTCGTGGAGCTGGACGAAATTACAAGGAATCACGGTTCACCGACTTCTTTCGGCACTGTTCGCATTGTGCGAATATAATAGACTTATACACACACGTGGAAAAATATTACATTGGTGGAAGAGTGATGCTTCGATTTTGTGAATATAAATATAAATCAATTTGATATAATAATATTAATTCATATTAATTAATTATTGTGTAATCTGTTAGTTAATTTTTTTTAATAATTTTATTATTATTAAATAATTTTATCATTAACTTTAAATAATTTGTCAAATTATTTGTAAGATTTATTTTCCATTTGAAATTTTATTTGAAATTGAAATAATTAATAAAATAAATTAAGATATTTTTATTTTATATCATTATTTAAACAAAAGAAATAATTATCAAAAATAATTCCAAATAGAAGTTGTGATATTGCATAATTGTATAAATGAAAATTGAAAATAATATAATTATATTAATATATATTTTTCAAATACAAATGAAAATCTGATAATATTTCTACTACAATTATGAACATTTATGAAAATAACATTATTCGAAATATTGTTAAATAATTATATCATTTATATCATTTATTTGAAATATTATTATTAAACTACTTAAATAATCATTTCAAATATGTTCAGGACATTCATTCACAATATTTATTTCAAAAGTATAGAAAATATTTTTCATAATAATAATTATATTTATACTTTTTTTATTTCATATAATATGAATGATTGAAAACAGAAATATTTTCAAACATTCAATTATCTAAGAACTAAAAACTTGCCAAAATGAATACTTTTATATTTTTTTTTTTTACTAATTAATAGAAAGATGCTTTTATTCAAACTTAATGATGAATTATATTTAGATAAACTTCTAATTATATTTATCTATTTTCATTATATTTATTTTCATTCATTTCATTATAGTTTATTTCTAATTATAATAATTTATATGAAAAATTCAGAAGTCAATTAAAGTAAATTATATTTTTTGAAAATAACTTATATAATTCAAAATTTCTTCATTATTTAACTTTTAAATCAACAAATCAACTAGTTTAACAATAGCTTAATTAATTTGTTAATTGAAATAATAATTAAATAATTTAATAATTTTATAATTAAATAATTAAATTTTATAATTATATTAATAATTTAAATAATTAAATTTAAAATTTTATAATTAATTAAATAACTTAATAATTTTAAATAATAATTAAAAATTTTTTAATTATATAAATCATTTTCAGAATATGTAACACATTGATTTTTAAACTTTCTATACATAATATAATTCAGGTATTGACAATTGGTTCCAAAAATATTTCATAATTTTAACATATAATTTTTTATCATTCTATTTTCTTCTCAAACAATTATCAATTCATCATTGTAACATGAAATGATCAATACATATATATGTATGTTTAAAATTGATATCTAATATTTTTTTATTACTAATATACAATATTTCATAGAATATGCTGAATATTTATATAACTAGATATTTTTGCGACCAACTGTACATTACAAGTAATCCTAATATTAATCTATTGTTGATCTCTAATTTTTAAGATTAATAATTATAATATTTTATCAATATAAATTTACCTTCATAAAATATAAAAGTTTATAAAAATCATCTATTTGAAATAATTTTATCTATTAGAATTAAAAACTGGTATAACCTTTCCACCAACATAATAATAATAATAATATCTCTTATATTTCTTTCTCGTTTTCTATTATTTAAGCACTGTTTACGAAATGTTATCGTAGTAAAACGTTGCGGGCAATACAGAGCGAGAGTCGAGAATCTCTCAAGAGTACTATACATACACTTTTTCCCTCGAATAAGAGAAAAATCATCCACGTGCGTCTGTTTCGCACAAATATATTCATTTCCAGTGCTGTTACATCAGCGACATAAACACGCGAGGAAGGTAAAAAATGGAACTAAAACGATCATGAATTTGTAAAGATTTTTGGCGTACTTACATATCTCACTTATACAATACACGCAAATCTTTCATCTACGCGCGATCATTTAACGTTTCGTATCCGAATTACCGTTATGTGATACAATTACGCGATTAGCATCACCGTTGCTCTTTATTATAATTAATATTACAAAAGCTTGATTATTTGGATCGGACTGTATATTCACATGACTTCATCATAGAAAATAAAAAGTTCAACGTTTACATTACAATTATTTCACTGTCTTCTCGATCGTCGATAACTTGATTCGCAATGAATGATAATAAATACATTAATTTTTATAATAATAACAATAAAAATAATAATAGAACAATAATAAAAATAATAATAGAACAATAATAAAAATAATAATAAACAAATAATAATAATAATAATAATAATAATAATAATAATAATAATAATAATAATAATAATAGTACTAGTAGTAGTAGTAGTAATAATAGTAGTAGTAGTAGTAGTAGTAGTAGTAGTGGTAGTAGTAATAGTAGTAGTAATAGTAGTAGTAGTAGTAATAGTAGGAGTAGTAGTAGTAGTAGTAGTAGTAGTAGTAGTAGTAATAGTAGTAGTAGCGGTAATAGCAATAGTACTAGCAGTATTATTAATAATCACCAGTAATCGTTATCTCTATTTCTGGCATCGTCGTCATTATCGTCATCGTCACTGTCATGGCCCTAATCATTGTCAAAAATAAAAATATTTCAGTCCCGTATTTCGATTACGGTACATATATTGCCACAAAATGTGTAACTTTGGAATAATGCGCATTCCGCTTATTCGAGCTTAATCGTAAAATTAGTATGTTCTTTGTGTAACAGACAACGTTCATGGTTCCTTTTCTAAAGCATAACCGGAAATGTGTAATGTCGCTGGAGCCTTTTTGGTCGAGAAACAAACCCAACAGTCGCCTCCTGTCAGCACATTTGCGATACGACGTCAACGTCATTGTTATGCTGTTTCTTCAACGATAAGTAAAAAACGAAAGAACCGCCGAACACGAACGATATAGAACATCATTCGTAGTTATTCTTCATGCACGCGCACGGACAATTATCATCGAAACTTTATCTTTGCCAATTATTGCCGTTTTTTCGACGACAGTAAAATTACAGAATAATGCTTTTCGTGTATACAATACAATACAATACAATACAATACAATACAATACAATACAATACAATTCAATACAATACAATACAATACAATGCAATGCAATGCAATGTAATACAATGCAATACAGTACAGTACAGTACAGTACAGTACAGTACAGTACAGTA